GAGGAAATCAAAAGAAAGCATTGTAACAGCGAGAGGAAAGTACCTGACTTAAACACGAGCAAGCGATGGAGGGTAGCTATGGAAACTCAGTCCTTGAGGTCTAATCGAACCGTGGGGGACATGGTACATGACGGTGAACAGGAGAAAATGCTGAGTCTACATGTTCCGAAAGTTTTGCGAAAGATTTGAGGTAAGGAGGAGTGAAATATACATATGTGTATATGACAGGGCAGCATGCTTGTCTCTGCTAATAATGTTTGGAGTCTACGGGGAAATAAGGGCAAGTAATGTCAAAAAAGGCCATGGAAAACCGGTAGAGAGCGAAGTCGAGTAGGAAAAGGGATGAACGAGGATTATTTGGCCTGCAACTCCTCCTCATATTGCTTTCGGAAACAATTGCCGATTGGAAAGAAGTCCCAGCATCGCTGTTGGTAGAGCTCCCACACATAGGTTTCCTGAATTATTACATCATTAACAATGAATTACGGGCTGTAATTACAGGCTAAGTGGTGATTCATATGGATGGTAAGGTTGTTAAAACTATAAATACCCACTCCATAGACTACAGCAATCTAAACTATCAAATAGATCGGCAAATGGCTAAGGAGCTAACATAACATTACGTGGGCAACAGTTTGTATTTCCGAAGAAGGTAGATAATATACGAAGTCGACTTTGCTTATTTTCGAAACTGACAGAAATGGCTTCACCGAATGATCGCCTATCTGAGCACATAGTCACGAAGTTGGTTGGGATGCATGCCTTGGCTATCAGTTTCAGGTGCTTCCCATTAATTATAATGCTTTCAACGGACTGTCTTCCAAGTCGGTATTTAGAGTTCGCGACTGCAGTTTATTCAAAAAGCCCTTCCCCCACCACACTAATTTAAGCATGTCCTTTGGATAGCAAGAGGTAATTATCGAGAAATGCTACCGGCAAGGGAAAGTGTGATGACTGTTTCCGAGTTACAACCGGGATTTGTCGGTGCAAGTCCTTTCCGTGCGGTTGATAGTTACATTCGACAGCCGGATTCTAGTTGACGAGTCACACTAATTCTATCTAGGAAACTAAACTTTAAGGGTATTTTGGTTGGTAGGAAATCGCTCTGAGCGTGGTGCTGGCAAAGGTGGCAAATAACACGGTGCTAAAATGCGGTTTGATACCGTAGAAGACCAAATCTAGCCCCTTAATTACGTGCTAGTATTTAAGTTCCTGACTGCTTAATAAACAAAATTGACAGAGGATTTGTCTTGAAATAAAAGAAGACATACCTGGCCGGTGAACTCTGTATCGGGTTTGTTGATTATATGCATAAGGAAATACCTGTAGAAAAGACGGGAATTCAGGCACTTAACAACATACGCTTATTACGTACATGCATAAACATACGCTAGCAGTCTTTATGTAAACAGTTTGTCATGACGGCCACAAAGAGGGTTTCTGTCATAAACACAGTAGTCAAATGCCCGAGACACATTATTTCTAGAGGCAGTGGTAGTTAGAATGATCGCCTTTGACTGAACTGCAGCCCCTAGTGCTGTAACCCGATCAGGTCAGTAAGTATGGCGGCGGTAAATATAAGGCGCACAACTAAAATGAACTGCCACAGGAAATGACAGAATAAGGCACGGAGACATTGCATGGAAGCATATTTTTTTCAATGGTTACGTGGGTCGTACTGGACATCTTAAAGCAAAAGTCTAGTAATTGACCTCATCTCTGCAAAGACTCATAAATGAAGAATTGTTCGGTAAAGAAGACACGCAAACAGGCGCGGAAAGAATTCAAAAGACAAGAAGCATATTTTGCCCCAACGGTTGATTACTGTCGTGGTGAAAACAGCGATTATGGCAATAAAGGCACGAAATGCAATGAGCCTACATATAATTGGCAAAGTTGTGCTCCTTTTCTACATGTCTGTCGAAACCATGAGGTGTTGCGTCAAAATACTCCTTTCCGATTCCGCAGATGAAACACTTCGATTCCAAGTCATCCTTAACCTGCTCCAGCTGGTCCCTCAAATCGCCGAAAGCGTCGATAATGAAGCCTGGGGTGTACAAAAGGACGCGGCATGTCAAAGTCAGGCAAAAAATACTAACTCAGGTGATGACAACACTGTTAATTCAGCACTCTTCAACCCACCCTGGATGATTGCCAGCAGGATGATAATGACAATAAAGAAGAAAGTCATGTCGAAGACAATTCG